ACACCATTAGATAAGGGGAAAACCTGTTAAAACAGTCATCTGATATTGGGTAGTAACAGATCTGAGAGATTCACAGGTCCTCATTTAGCTTAAGTGCCAAGTCTCACCAGGAACTTCACCTGCCTGAGCAAATCTTCCTATCCAAGAACCAGGGACAATCTGCCACCTGTCCTTTAGCTCTGGGGGAGCTTGGAAGACTTGCAAGCCCTTGGACATGATTACTTTATAACCAATAGAAATGAATTTTCTTGGTCTGATTTTATAAATACTCCCCCCCATCAATTAACGTATTTTGACAAAGATTTGCACACGATAACTTCAAATGCAAGGTTAACGAAAGTTCATTTCTCATTCTTTCTAAATTTGACAATAATCAGCACCCAAAATGATGTTTATCATCTTTCTCAACAATTGTCTTCACCTTTACCCTAGAGCAGAAGAGTCCCTAGTTTTTAAAAGATTTTTTGCTCTGCTTTAATCCTTGAGTACATGACCTAAAGTGAAAGCCATTGTTTGTTCTTTAAAATTATTATTTAATATCATTATAATTTTTTACTTTATTCTTATTTATTTATTTATTTATTGACCGGTAAGGGGATTGCAACCCTCGGCACGGTGTGGACTGCACCGTGCTCAGCCAGTGAGTGCACCGGCCATCCCTATATAGGATCCAAACCCTTGCCCTCGGCGCTACCAGTGCTGCACTCTCCCAAGTGAGCCACAGGGCCGGCCCAATATTTTACTTTATTCTTAAGCTGGCCTTGGCATCTTACTATTTTGAATGTCGCTAGACTGTAACGAGGGACAGATGGATATGGTGATCCGGAACGATCTGGAATGCTGACTTGAGTTGTTATGGTAGGTGCAGGGCTGTGCTACACTGTTCAAAGAGGCTGCTGCAGATGTGTAGCTGAGCAGGGTGTTAACTTGAAGCAGATGGATGCAGACGGGGCACAGAGGCTGTGCTTTATTTGTTGATGATGAGTGCAAATGCCGAATAATGAATGCAACAAAAATTAGAAGAGCTAACTTTTTGGTGTTTAGATTGTCTAAGTCATTATAGCTAATCCAGCAGGCATGAATGAACAGAAGCAGGTTTAATTAATCTCTAATGTACATTACCTTCGATCATCCGACATTCATCTGCTTATATTGCTTTATTAGGTAGTTCAGTTAGGTATGTCATATCTTCTCTATTGTTTCCACCAATTAAATATCGGTCAAATCCCATCGCAATGAACTTCAGAGAAGCTAACGGATTGGGTGGAGACTGTTACGGGAAGGTGCTCAGATTAGGAGGTTTTGTTGGAGAAATAGTAATGATGACTAGTGGTTATTGGTACTAACCATTTCTAAGAAATATTCTAAGCATTTTACAATGATTAACTTATTTAAATCTCACACCAGCCCTATGGAAATAGATGTTATTTCCATAGATTAAGCAACTTGCCCAAGGTTCTCAGCTATTAAGTGGAAGAAGCTTAATTTGAACCCAGGAATTTATGTACCCAAATTGCCCTCTTATCAGACTTGAAGATATTTTTAATGTACTTCTAAGTCGCCACTTTTGGAATTAAAGCACATGGTAGAACACCCTACGGGGAGAGAGGGGGTGATGGGAAGGAGAGTCTCGGAAGGAGATCTGTAGGTAGGGTGAGTCCCTGCTCCCCCAGTTATTAGTGAGGTGGCCTCAGGAAAACTCCTCAACCCCTTTCTGAGCCTCAGTTACGCTATGAAACGGGGGCAATACATTCACATGCCGCACACGGGAGACTGTCAGGGTCTGCTCTCCATCCCCTTCTTACTGGCTGAAGAGGCAAAAGTTTACTCCTGGTTACCTTGCTGACTAAGGAGCATGTTAAAGTCAACAAAGATTCTCTGCTTGGCCAAACTGTAGTCCGGCTCCCGAACCCTGTCATAGGCCCATCTGTGCACTTCCTTATAAAATCCAGTTTTAACAAAGAATCCTGCTAAGTCAGTTGACAAGAACGCCCCCCCCCCATCTTCCATATCTGATCACCCTCCATATCTAATCCGGTTCCTCATCCCTCACCGTCCCCCAGGTGATGTCTGATCACCCTGGCCTGTCTTCAGCAAGAATCCTGTTAGGTCGGTTTAGCCAGAATCCCCCCTTACCCCGGATGCTTCCTCCTAGTAATTTCCCATCTGCTGACCCCCACCCTGCTCCTTGACCACAAATTCCCACTTGCCCATGCTGTATTCAGAGTTGAGCCCAATCTCCCTCCCCCATTTCAAGACTCTGTTGCTGTGATCCCTGTACCTATCAAGACGGTCCTGAAATAAAGCCTTCCTTACCGAGCTTTAAAAGTGTCACCGAATTATTTTTTTCCTTAACAAATTGTCATGCTACAGTCCTGCCCCAGCCAGTGGCGGGGAGAGAGCTTCTCACTTGTAGTTGAACTAACGCTGGTCCTGCTGGGGCTCCATAAACGCTCCAGAGCACACTCGGGTGGGTTTGCCGCTGGCCAGCCCGCAAACGGCTCTGCAGCCAGACCTGGATCTATTCTCCAGAATAAATCAGGGAGCAGGGAGAGTCATTCTCCTGAGCACAGCCTGGCTGAGCAGTCCCTCCTTCCGATCTAACTGGGCCTTCTTTCTGCCAACTGCCCTGAAACACGGGCCCCGAGAATGATGCCTTAACTGCCCCCAGCTGTTCCCTTTCCATGCAGGTCTAGCTCCCACCCACGCACACATCGGTCCCCGATTTGGGGTCACTATTTCACTGTTTCATGCCTCACTGGTCACATCTGCCTCATGTACACACTCACAGAGGAGGCGTGTTTCTCATTTACAGGCACACATCTGAATCTACTGCAAAGAGAGCCCTGAATGCAGGTGGATGTGTGAATTTTCTATCACAAGGTGAGAAAACGAAGACCAAAGACGGCAGACAGAAAGAATTTGTAAATTGGAGACATGCATTTCTTTGGCTCCTGCTCACATTGTTTTTAGTCTAGCAGAGTGTCTCATCCGAGCAGTGCTCAGTAACAGTTTGTACAGGATCTCCACATTCTGCAGAACTTGGAATGAGAGTGTGTTCAGGAAGAAAGGGTCCCTGGAAGGTTCTGGTATTTTGAGGACTAAAGGGCATGAACGGTTTTAGGCTGGGAGTCACTCCCACGGCTGTGACCACTACTGATCTGGATTGAGGGCAATGCACCTGCTTCTAATGATGGTCAAGAGCTGACCTTGTGGGCAGAAAAGAAGACTGTGTAGTGGCTGAACATCAATCAGGTGTGTGGAAGTTTTAGAAATTAGTACTAACACAACTGCTGTCACCTTATTTTTTTTTTTTAACCAGCCCACTCCCCCCTCCTCAACAGAGGACTTTCAGTTGCTTCCTACATCAGTCCGGCTCCTCTTCCTGGCACTCAGGGCCTCATCCCAACCTCTCCAACCTGCGTCCCACCCTTCTCGGGACAAGGACCTCGCTCCTCCAGTCTGCTGCTGTGAGCTAAGAAAGGACCTGGGATCAGGCGGGCAGAGGCTCCAATTTCTGTTCTACTGTTATCTTGCGTTTACTTGCTGTGTGACTTGGTGCAAGTCACTTAGCTTCTCCAAGCCTCAGTTTCCTCATGCATTGGATGACGAGGATAAGAACAGATATTCTATGGGACTGCATGGCTTTGAGATTATGTATATAAAGGGTATGGAGTAAGTATTAGATAAAAAGCAACTTTTATTTTTATATCTTTCGAGATGTACCCCAACTCAGCCTTTTCAAAATCCTTTGTATTCTGACTATTCAGAGTTTCCTTTCTATGAACACTGGAGGCATTTTCTGTGCATGCCACTCAGTCCAGTGGTTAGTGGTGCTCTATGGCTCAGTTGGTCTCACTTCGCCAGGTAAGCTTGGGGAAGGCCAGACTCAGGTCACTCAAATAATCCACACATCTAATCGTGCCAGGCACATACCGATGCAACACAAACCTGAGCCGACCAGCAATCGACAGGCTATTATAATCACCCCTGGCAAAATCATCTAAAGCAAAGATGTAGAATCCTTTGTCATTGTTTGGACAAAGTGATGTTTATGGGTTTCCTAACCACCTGTAGTTCTTATTTCCCTTGAAACAAGGGTGTGGAAGGCAGGGGTGGGAGTGTCCTGCTGTCTCTACCTTATTGCCCGTGGCAGTGTCCACCAGGAAGCCCAGGACCCTGAGAACCACACTGCTCACATCCACAGGACATCGGCTCTGGCCCATGTGCTTCAGCATCGCTCCGGGGGACTCCACACTGGGGCATGCACACTCCAGAGCTGGTGAAGAATCTGGAGGGTGGAAAAGTGCCTGGTCTGGCTGGACAAAAGACTGGTCATCTCCTAGTATCTCCCTGAGAGTCCCCACGTCCTCCTCTTCCTCTTCTATGCATGACTGAAGTCTGTGAGTCACATATTCCGAAAGCAGCAAATGAAACAGATGCCAGGAGCCTACGTTTAAATGACAACCAAATATGAATACATCTGATAGACAGACAAATAAATCACTGTAAAATGAACAACTTTTCTGAGGCTTTTAACTCCTGCGTATCAGAGCCTGATTCCCATAGCTGACCCCAAAGGGGCCTAGGTAGGACCATCTCGTGTGTAGCGATCCATACTTAGAGAGCTCCCACAGGGCAGCTTTTGGACAGAAAGGACAGAGAGCTCAATAGCCTGAGCCACAAAAGGGAACTTACACATCTAGCTTGAGATGGGAGCAAAGCAAATCCTACTGGGAAATGGGTGACTTTATCAATTGTTATTCCCGAAAGTTAATATAGGTGCTCCAAAGAACCCATTTTTTCTCTCAGTTGTCTCCCTTGGTGCTTTTCTCAAAATGTCACAAAGCTCATCATTCGAAAACACGGGGAGGCTTCCTACACATCCTACAATGATGGAACAGGAAATTGAGGCACAGTCCAGATGGTTTGATGGACTATATCACGTTGCCATTAGAAAAAAAGATACCTACGGTTTTGTGTGGTTTTCGGTACCTATATTGTATTTTACATAAAAAGGTTAACAGAAGATACTGAATTCTACATAGCAATATGCAAAACACTTATGCTGTAATTACATTTTTAAAAGGTAGAATACAAAATATTTTTGTTCTCTGACTTACCAAAACTGTCTCTGTGGCAGAGGGTCATGGCTTTGCTCACGGCCGTGAGAAGGAAATTCCATCTCAGCTGGAAGCTGGCGGCCAGTTTGATAAACTCCTCTTTGCTTCCGCTTGGCTATTACATTTTTGTGAGGAAAAAAATGCTGGGGTTTATGATAAAATCAAGAAGCATAGCACGTTTTCAAATGCATACATTTGTCATGCTCAGGCATTTCAAAAGGGCCAGATGAGGGCCGGCCCGGTGGCGCACTGGAGAGTGCACCGCTTGGGAGTGCGGCGGCGCTCCCGCCGAGGGTTCGGATCCCATGTGGAGACTGGTTCCCGCTCACTGGCTGAGCGCGGTGCGGGCGCAACACCGAGGGTTGCGATCCCATTACCGGTCAGTAAAAAAGACAAAAAGGAAAAAAAAAAAGGGCCAGCTGAGAGGGACGAAATGATAAGGCTGGGGGCTGAGGCAAGTGCCGGGCTGTATCTGGTCTCGCTCTATCCCCTGTGCAGAGAGTTCCTGGGCAGAACCCTTTCAGTCGGTGGAGGCAAGAACAGATGTGGAAAATTGACCTACCTTTTTTTGTTTAGTCACCACACAATTTTAAAAAGAGGTCACTTGTGAAGCAAGACAGAAAAACACAGCAGAGGCAGCCTCACTGCGGTCCACTTGGGAACGGCTGTCCAAAGGGTCGGGGGCTGTTTCCCATGGGCATTTCTGTGTGCGAGTCAATGGTGGGAAGGGTGCCCAGAATCCGATGGTAATGAAGAGCAATAGTGCTTATCTGGGAAAGAACGAAGCTGGCCGCTGCGCTGGGCAACTGATGGCAGGATGGAAAGTCCTCGCCCCTGGCTCCAGGGGAGCCAAGGTCATCCGATGGCCTGAGTCGCCCTACACTGGGTACCAGTAAGATGCTGCTGCTACTTGCAGACTAAGAAATTCTCTCCGTCTAGATGGAGAGCAGCCTTGGGCCGCACTTGAAGTGATCTACAAAGCAGGGAGTCCTATGAATTTCAAATGCGTATGTCGCTATGAATGCTCCAGTACCTCTTCTAAGTTTGTCACATGCCATGTGGCCCACCCACTGGCTCTATCCATGTCTTTGAAGAAGAGATGAGACTGGCTAAGAAATGACTATATGCCCTTTGTTGTCATCGGTTCTTTTCTCTTCTGGTCCCATAAAAGCCCCCAACACAGTACAGGGTGCCCCGAGCTCTGGGTGGGTGTGTACGCCCCTCGGTAGCCACATGTTTCTCATCATCTGAAACAGGGCTCTCAGAAGCAACTCCTCCCATCGGTGTTTGATGGGGATTTTAGGGTGAAGGGACAATGAGAGTACAAACAACACAGGCATACTTTCTAAAGCTTCAAGAGAGGTAGCTCTGGGAGACCAGAACCGTCTCTGCACGAACGTCCGGACATCAGCCATAAACACTGTCGAGCTTTCCATCCGTCCCCACCACCGTGTGCTCTCCGTGTTCCTCCCTTAGAAATTATTCCTGGGCCCACACTGCACGAGAGCAGTGAGAACAAAGCACGGGACGAAGTCCGACGTTCCCCCTGCTGGCAGGCCACCAGACGGTGACAGCCGAAGCCATCCATCATCCCCGACCAACCCAAGGCCTTGCATTTTAACAGTCTGTTTCATTGACAATAGTCTGTTTTGTATCAGCTAAACTACTTAACAAAAACAAGCCCTTCAAAGGCACATGGTTACAAAAACAGCATTTTCTAACACGCCTCATTTGTGAAGGCTGAAGATACGATGATGGAGACTTGGAAAACACACAGCGTTACATGGTTTAGACAGCAGGACGCGCCTCTCGTGCTGCTTCGAGGCAGGATTGGTATTAACGATCTCAGGGGTTAATGATTAAAGTGGTTAAAGTTGGAGGCTGAGTGAGTATCCAAAATAAGGGACAGACTGCTGACAGCTTCTGTCAGTGACGACGTATCGAACGAATGTGTCTCAATAGCAATGCAACTCTGGACATGCTCCTGCTGCTATAAATAAGCTTCGCCTAAGACCAACAAGTAGGAATAAAAACCATACAGATTCTGGGATGATTATTTTCAAGAAGCAAACGAAAACAGACACCTGCCGAGGGTTGGAACTAGCTTTCCAGCTCCTTCCTGGGGATTTTTCTGGTTCAACGCTAGGAAGTTTAAGACCCCAAAGTCACCTGCAGTTTTTGTCACCTGCACTAAGTTATTATTTCTGCCCTTTCTCCTTGACTGAGAGGTCAGGGATGTGGACAAGGCCAGGTGGGGTGGGACAGGGGAGTGGCAGTGATGTGTCCAGAGGCTTAAAGAAGAATGCCTGAAGCTGTGTTCCTGGTCCCCAGACCCTGAGTGTCTCTGCGGTCTGCACCAGGTTCTGTTCCTTCCTCCCTGAAGAGCCCTCTGTTTTCCCACACGGCCGCTCTTCTCGCTGCTGAATGCCTTGTCTCCCTGTCTCAGCTGTGTAAATCCTACACACACATCACATCCCAGTTTAAGCCCAACTCCCTCTTCAGGGTCTTCCCCAACCACCTCGGCCTTCGGGAGCACCATGTCTCCAGTGGCGGAAGCCCTGGGCTGCCTTGCTCCCATCCGGGTTTAGTTCATAGCCTCTACTCCCCTCTGCCTGCTGTGGGCCCGCTGGTGAGAGGTGCTGTGGCTTCTCTGATGGCAATCTCAGCTCTTCGTGGTGACTGCCCATGCAGATGATGATGAAAATCAAACACAGGTCCTACTAAAGTGACCGCCAAAAGGCACATCTACCAGGAGAACCAAACCCACCCACACCCACAACCAAGTCATCCTTGAGTTTCTTTTTTTCCTTTTTGTCTTTTTTCGTGGCCGGCAATGGATCGCAACCCTCAGTGTCGCTCCCGTACCGGACCGGGACCGGCAACGGGATCGCAACCCTTGGTGTTGCTCCCGCACCTCGCTCAGCCAGTGAGCGGCCGGTCTGTATGTGGGATCCGAACCCTCGGTGGGAGCGCCGCCGCGCTCTCAAGCGGTGCACTGTAGCAGTGCGCCACCGGGCCGGCCCCGATCCTTGAGTTTCTGAAATCAAGCCAGACACTTTACTGGGACACATCTGCAAAACACCCAAACAAGTGCCGTTCTCCCCAAACAGACCATCTCTTCTACTCCTCCACACTCCTGCTTGGTGCACACGCATGCTCACACACACGCACTCACCCACACAATGTTCACACACATGCACACTCACCCATGCACACGCTCACACTGCCCGTTCACACACATGCACACTCACCGGCACACGTGCATACACAG